TGTAAGCCTGGTTATGTTTGTGTGCAAGCCCTAGAACATGGACGTTCCTATTCTTTGGGAGGGAGCCAGAAAACCCTGTGAAGTCCCATAATGCATCAGGAAAAAAATGCAAAACTCCATGCAGCAAAACCCAAAGCTAGATTCATTACTCGGACCTTTAAGCTGCAAGGTATTGCTGGCAAACTAAAACACATTATTCTCCATCCGTTTTATTTAAGACGAGCAAAAAAGGTTTTTGATCCAAGAAATTCTATCCATCTGAAGCATATGTATTTATATTTAGTCCTGATCCAGGGTTCCTGATGACTGATTTATTACATCTGTGCAGCGTGACATGGAGGCGATCAGCCTGTGGTTCTGCTGAGGTGTTCAGGAAGGTCAGCTTTGCTTTAATGGGGGTCAGGCCAGTTTTCCGACTAACAAGCACAGTGATACCATGACCTTTAAAAACAGCAGATGTTGTTGCTGGTGCAATTTTAATGTAGTTACATTTTTAGTAGCTGTAAATCATACTGTCAAAATACTTCCCTATGTATGGAATACACCTATATAAAGACTTTCACCTCTAAAATAACAGTTCTGAAATTAAAAGGTTTGCATACATGTTACAGTAGGGGTCTTAAAGGCAAAAAACGCAACCAATTGCAGATTTGTGCAGTTAGATGTCACTATATAAACAACTGAAGTTCAGCCACTATATATACCTCTGATGCACTGTAGCTGTTAGCAGCATACGCAGTTTAATTATTGCCTCTTTCCTTCTTGTTTGTGACTCATATTCAGTTGTTTTGGACTCATGGTAGAGAGGAAACCCCAGAACACAGAACCCTCCAACTATCACATAATGAAGAGAAAATCTTTTTCAAAAACTTCCTGTTTGTAAAGAACATGTTCCTCATTTTTAAGTTGTATGAAACTTTTTTTAATGGGATGGACTCCCCCTGCACAAAATGGTTTGGCATCTCACACAACTTCTTTTATTTTATTGAGCTGTTCCAGTAAAGTAAATAAACTGCTTAGTGGGCCACAGGCGGAGAGGACAATATGTCAGGAAGCTGCTTCATCATTTTGCTATAAAGAATCAGCACCACAGCTGTCACCTGAGGAACAGGTGGATTTCTCTATATGAAAGTTACCAGCAAGTTTTCGCTGCTGAATGCCAATCTGGGCCGAACATAAGATGCCTTGAACCAAATGAAGGCATGGCTGTAAAGGCAGGTTTCCCTTCATGACATTCTGAGCTCAAATCTAAATCCTAAATTCACACAAGCAGAAGCCTGATATAGGAATACTGCAGCAGGTAGGGAAAGCCAAAAGGTACAAATAGTCAATACAATAATCCGCCAAAACTACTATTTATAAATGATTTTGAGCATCAAATGAATCAATCACATTGTATCAATGAAAAAAAATATGTTTTTGATGAAATTATTTTCAATTATTTAACATGTTTTTTTGTAGTTTGTGATCATATTTAATACTTAATTAATTTTCTATTTGTGCTTTTAAAATGTAAATATCTTTTGCTAGAAGAAACTCAGTCATGTGGATTTAAAATTGTTGCTTCGCAAGTTGAGCAGCTATATGTTTGGGTTTTTGCTGTGAGGCACAGCAGCAATAAGTACGTATTAATGACATAGTTTAGCATAGGAAGTGAAAAACATTTTGACTGTACATTTTATCATACATTTCCCCCAATATTATTTCTGCATCATTATTAAATAGGCTGAGATCTTTGAAAAAATATCCAGTTATCTATCTGACATTTGTCAGATAGATAACTGGATATTTATATATATAAATATCCAAAAAAGAAGACAATTGTCTTCTTTTTTGGAATTTTATGACACTTTCTAAAGAAGAAATATGATCTACAAACTGTTTTGAAGAGAAAAAAAAATTATCGAGTAGATGGGACGATATATAATATCGATCATGTCTTAAGAAGCTAAATGGGAATTATTTTTTTCCATTATAGCTACAAGCCAGGGATCCTCACAGCCAGTCTGGTTATATTTCCTTCACCTGTTCCACTTTACCTTTACACTACATTTCTTTGCTGCCCCTGAAGTTCTCCTTTTATCCACCAGGTGTCAACTGACCACCTGTCAGGGCCACCTGTCTCATCAGCTTTATGAACAAAATCAATCCTCTGTAAACAAGACCTATAGGCATATCTGACTGTTATCAGAGACCCCTAGTGGCTGGATAGTGGAACTGCAATATGTACAGATAGATAGATAGATAGATAGATAGATAGATAGATAGATAGATAGATAGATAGATAGATAGATAGATAGATAGATAGATAGATAGAATTGTATAGTTGCACTTAGGGCTAATCATTTGTCCCACAAAATAGTACAGTAAACAAAAGAGTCTAACAAACAAAGCAAATTGATGTTTTATAATGTAATCACAATTTTAGTTGTAAATTGTAATGTATTTCTCATTTTGAGTGAAGCCTCATGGGGGATATATATATTTTTAATTCCTTTTTTTTTTTTTTTTTGACGCATTATTTAATTCAGAAAAGCACTTTTAATTATCTGCCTGATCTACACAGTGCAGGGTTAATGTCAGAGGCGAACCTGCTCTAGTGATGGATAGATGGATGGATGGATGGATGGATGGATGGAGGACAACAACAATAGCCGTAATAAACAAATAAACAAACCCCAAACGATGCGAATGGATTTAAACTCAGGTTTCCTAGAAACCATCCATCTGAAAACCTCGAAATATTTAGATTAGAATTTATTTTAGATTCATTAATAGTCTAATTCATAGATAAACAGATCAACAGTGATCTAATGTAGCTCTAGATAGTTTATTTAGTATTTTTCCTGAGATTTTTTTTCAAGCTGTAACTTTAATCTCTACCAGAAACTCCAAACAATGAAATTAAGATCTTTCATGCGCACTTAAATCCCAGATAGATCCGGGGAAAACTAGATTTAAAAGACACAAATAAAAGAATCACTTATGTAATAAACACCTCGCATGGATAAAGAAAAATGATGAAAAATGAAAATTTCACAAAGACGCATAATTGATTGTTCTGAATTTCTGGTCCAGCTGTCGTCCTCCAGAGCCCCTTTTTTTCCCTTCAAATTGTGAAAGGTGCATTCATGTGGAACCCAGCTCACTTTGCCCCTCTTATATTGCCAGTTCTGGGGGAAATCCATCACATCTCAGCGCGCATGGATCAGCGCCCACCACCCAAAGACTGTGCGTCCTCAGTGCGTCCTCAGTGCCTTCCATTTCATTTTTAAAACAATAAAATCATAACCTTTGCATTCTATGTTGATGCGATCCACATTCAGGAGTCAGTTATACTCACTTTCAGGTGTTAAATCCGTCTCATTGTGCCAGAAGAAACCAGCTGTAGGTTATGCAGAGCCGCACTTCAGAGTTAAAAATCCACATATTAGCGTTTTCACCACCGCAGTCCTTAGAGTAAAATTATTATTAATAATAATAATAACTAGAAAAACGAAACGGTTTCCCCCCCTGAGGCTGCAGCTGTTTGGAGAGCTGGAGGAGCTGCTGCTGTTGCGCTTTGCGCTGCGCTCTGATCCGCTGCGCGCAGGAGATGCTGTTAAGTGTCTCCTCTACTGGGTTACCCATTGGCTAAGGAGGCTGCTGATGACAAGAGTCCACCGCCCCTGCTGCTCACTATGGAGCTGTAGTAGGAGATGCTTTTTATTAGTCCAATGTGGAGTAAAAAACGCGGTAAAAGGTGATGGTGAGACCGAGATTAGGATTTGTTTTAATCTATTTTAATTCAATTTCAATTCACTTTATTTCTATAGCGCCAATTCACATCACATGTCACCTCAATTCACCAGATCATCCAGTCAAATTGATTCAAAGTTTTCAATCTGAGGAAAACCAGTTGATTGCATCGACTCATTGACTCCAAGGCAATCCCTCACACTAAGCATGCTTGTAGCAACAGTGGAGAGGAAAAAACTCCTTTTTAACAGGAAGAAACCTCCAGCAGAACCAGGCTCAGTGTGAGCGGCCATCTGCTGAGGCCGACTGGGGTTCAAAAAGACAGAAGCAGAGACACAAAAAGCAGCTGTAAAAGGCGGCCCCATCCACGAAACACACAGCCAGGCAAACAAGTCAGAAGAGAGCACATCCAGCCAGTCACAGTCAGAGAAACAGGACTACACTGGAAAACAGGCCGATCTCCAACATCTATAAACAAAAGTGTTGATGGAAGCAGCAAAGCTGATATTTCTCTCCAGGATGGCGTCACAGCCAAACAGGAACAGACGAGGCAAAGCTACTATGAGAAAAAGCACGTTTTAGTAAATGTTAGTATAAGATTTAATCTTGTGTGATGAAACGTACCTCACCATTACACATAGAAGTAAACATTGAATACTAAAAATTGATCAGAAAAGCTGTGTTGTCTCTCTGATAAGATTTGTTCCCTCATCTGGTGGATATGCTGCCCTATTCAGATGCTTCTTTGCTTCTACTTCAACTTTATTAGCGCACTTTGCAACTTGTTGAGGTAATTAATACCTTTAATCCATCTGGTGCACTGGAGCAGGGAATTGCTTACAACATCCAGGGAAGTGGCAGAGGTTATTGCCTCAGAGTGGAGCTCTGTACACTGAAAAAAAGAATGCAAAAATTTGTTTCTCCATTTTTTTAACCATATTTAGTTACTTTAACTCAAATGTTCATGTTAGCAGGAAAGGACATAAAACAATCTGTTAAAGTAACTAAATATGGTTAAGTAAATGCCAAAAGGGGTTGCATTATCTAAAACACAATAAAAGCTGTTATTTATCTAACAGCACTCAGAGGACATTGTTATGCTTTCTGATTTAAAGATAGTTGATTATCTAAAATGAGGTCTTATTGATTTAATGGTCGGAGAAATATGATTCTGAGAGATTCCAGATGGGATTATTTATAACAAACCTCAAAGAAATATTTAAGAAATATCCATATGAGGTTAAGGGGAGTGGCAGCCAAGTGGTTATGGCTGCCACTCTGACCCTTAACCCCACTCTGCTCCCCTGGCGCCCCACGATGGCAGCCCACTGCTCCCAAGGGGATGGGTTAAATGGAGATGTAAATTTCTCCAATGTGAGATCAATAAAGTTCAATTATTATTATTATTGTTGTTGTTGTTATTATTATTATTATTATTATTAATTATTATCAAGTATAAAAACTTCCTAATATTTAAAATTAGTATTTGTTTTTTGTAAAAGACAAAGCCTGTAATGATTTCTTTGATACCCGATGATTTTGTATGAATTCAGAAATATTGCAAAATAAGATCATGAAATAAATTCTCATTTCATGCACATTAGAATATATGTTGTGAAGTGAAGTTCTATTTTTCTTTTCTAGATGCAGTATTTCTGCAGGAAATCAGAGGGTCTGTCCACCCGGCTGCATCCAGAGTATCCATGGTAACCGCCTGTACTGTCAGACAGGTGGCAGCAGGACCCACCACTTCCATCAATGATCTGGGTTTTTACATCCCATATTTTCCAGACGGAAATTTTCACATGATATTCTCCCAACTCTGAGTCCAACATATAAAAAAACACTTTGGTTTGATAAGATTGCTTAATTCAATGAAAATGGGAATCTAGATTTATATTTAAAGAGTGAATTTTAAGTTAAGTTTAATTTCTGATCGAGTTAAATAAAGTGAATCCATTGTTGTTTTTCTTATGACTACTTTCTGGGTCTGATCATTTTAAAAATATTGCACAGACATTGCATTTGAAACCTTTGTTGACACATGTAAACAATAAAATTGTTCCTACTGGATTTTCTAAATTACTGTGAATATGACAGAGAATATGACAAATGTCTGAGTGAACAGAAAAGGAAGGGTTTTTCCTTTTTGAAAGCTGCAAATATTTTTGATGATACAAAGGAGAAAATTTCAGATGTAAGTTTTATTTATCTTTTCATCACTCATGTGGGCTCATTTACGGTAAAATATGAGCAACAGAAAATCCCCTGTCAGAGCTGGAGTCTGACATTTTCACTCATTTTTTCACTGTGTTTCGATGAGAAAAGATTGTTAATGAGATCCAATGAGTCTAAGCACTCCAAGTGTCCTTAGTGTGCAGAGCCACCTTTAGTCTGAAGTCTCTTTTGTGACCTAATGGAGCAGGTTTTTCCTGTATGGCAGCTCGAACCTAATGGGCTAAAACATGTTTTACAGTTATACAGGAATTTATTCTAGATTAGTGGAGCATGAGAACCAAAAGTCGCTTCTCCATATTTGGTTCTGATTCTGCAGATCTAGTTATGATCTAGCTGACCTGAGGTCCGGCTGTCGATCCACTGAAAACTGTCTGTAATGTATCTTGTTGCCCAGCCATTCAGTGATTTATAGACAGAAGCATTTTAAGGTCTATATTCTCAAATACACCGTGGAAGGACTTTAGAGCTGTGCTGATGTTCTCCACTTTCTTAGTTCTAGTGAGGACAGCATTTGCAGCATTCTGCATCAGCTGTAGCTGTTACTTTAACACCGCTGCAGGGATGTATTCTACTAAAGATGAGC